GGACAGACACATCAGGGAACTGAGGGCCTTACTGAGTGGTGGTCTTTAAAGCAAATGCTGGCCAACAACAAAAGAACCAGCTGGCCACTTCCAAGTACCAGCCCCTTTTGTGGTGCTCTGCTCAGGGCACCCTGGCTCCACCTTTCCCGGATGTCAGAGGGGCCTGGTCACCCACCCAGCTGCTTGCTCCATAAAGCAGCAGTTGGGCAACTGCATAAGTGTAGTAATAGTCTCAGAACTGTTGTCAGGACCTCAGGCTGGTAGGGCTGTGAGGGCTTGGGAGGGGGGTCTTCCATGAGGCACTGCTAGCAACAAAGCAGGGACCGTGGATAGGCTGAACTGACCCATGGAAAGGACGAGAGAATGAGTCATGGATCTCAGTGGCTTTGAATCCTTTCCCAAGGACTGACTAGCATTCTCTAGTTGCAGCAAATCCAACCTCCTGGTAAGCGTGTGTTACTCAGGGTCCTGAAGCATTCAAGTTATGAACATTCCTGCCTCCCTCTATGGGCAGGAAAGAAGAGTTTACAGAGTTAGCATGGAAAAGAGAACCAGAGAACTCAAAAGAAGGTCAGAGAAGGAAGCACTGAGTTGTCATTCATTACCTAGAGACACTGATGTTTTTCTTGGGATGCCGTGGGAGAATATTTCTACTCCTTCCAACCTTAATGGATATGTAATCAATGCATCTGCTGACTGGGGCCAGGAGGGTCTCCTGGCTGACAGGAGCCCGAGAACAGATGAGGAAACAAGCTTGTTGCTGGACTTCCTTCCCTCTTGGTGCCTGGTGGCAATTCACGATCCCCATCCCAACCCTGGAAAGGTTCCCAGGGCCCCTGAGTCTTTGGGCAGCAGAGCTGAGGAGGGGCCTTGCAACATTTCTGCTCAACTTGCTTTTGCCATGGGTGGCCATAGCAGTCTGCCTGGCAAGATTACCTGCTGAGTTGTGCAGTCCAGGTTGGGCCTAGCTCATCCCATGCTGGAGGGATCTAGAGGCCTTGATTCCAGATCTGTCAGTGACTGCTGTCTGCAGTCAGTTAGCCAGGTGGGCTTGCCTCCGCCATGTCTCAACCGTGAGCATCCAAAGGGCTGTGGGATCAAGGCCTCTGGATCTCTCTGGCATGAGATCAGTTGGTCCCAACCAACTCTGCAACTGAGGGGGGTCACCTGCCCAGGCAACCAGCAGCCTAGTGGGGATGAGGGCTTAGTCTTTGGCTCAGATTCTGAATTTGGTATCTGGCAAGGATGGGCTAGGTCAGAGGGGAGGTGGGGCTGGTTGTCTCCCTGGGAATAAAAGAGGTTGTCCAGGTAGCCTCGTTTGTTCTAGTTTCCAGAGAATCTGGTGAAAATTAGCTTTTAAGTCTATCTGGGGAGGCCCATGTGGGCACCTGGTCTTGTTCCTAAGGCTCTAGGACCCTCTTAGCCATAGAAATAGGACTATGGAAGTGATGGGTTAGCACAGAATGCTAGCCAGACATGAAAATTGAAGCCAGTGGTCCATTAGGCTGCCACTATCTCCCCAGGGAAGGTCTTCATGAACCTGAGGCTCTGCCCCAGCCTGAACTAGGGCTGCTTGTCCAATACCTGCAAACATGTCTTCCCCAAACACAAGGGAGTGGAACAGATACTGTTTGGAGAGGAAAGGCCAGCCCCAATTAGACCCATCTCTCCCCACTTAAAGCTGGCTGTTCCAGGAGAAGGACATGAGCAGGTTGTGGCTACTGTCAACAGAGACTCTTATTTATCTGTCCAAAATCCTAGGGTTAAAGTCTGGTTTCCTGCATTAACACGCAGCTGTTTACTCTAGCCTTTGCCAGAATGACCCATCCACTTACTATCTCCACCATGAGTTAATCCACTAAACTCCAGGCTGCCTTTAGCTGTTCTGTGAATTCCTTGGGCATATCTAATTAGGTATACATTTCTCTGAGGCCTTGCTCTGTGACTTAGACATCTCCAGGTATTTCCAGGGAATGAATCTGGCTAGATGCTTGGAATGCATCCCTGGGGTTTCTCCCTTTGCAGAGCAGTCTAGTTGGAAGATATGTGCAAGCAAACAAGGCTAAGAAACATCCAAAAACAGTCCCTGTTGGTCTGGGCTCAGGAAGGCTTCCTGGAAGATGCAAAGCATAAACTGAATTTTGGGGGATGAGGAGGGCAGAGAAGTGAAGAAAGAGGAAGGGTTGTCATTAGCCTGTCATAATAGCAACAGTGGCCTTCTATGTGGCTTTAAGATTTGCAAAATGCCTTCTGCAGAGAGAAAGCACTTCTGTTCCCACCCAAAGGAGCCTGGGAGCTCTTTCCAGTTTACTCTGGAGCACCCATATGTCCCCATCATGAAAAAATGAAAGCTCCAACCCAACAATGGGGAGGGAGAGAGAGTCTTTGTTCTACACTGGCTTCCAGCAGGGCATAGACCCACTGCTGGGACCCTCCCAGGGTGTGTGACCTGTCACAGCTCGGCTGTCACTGAAGTTCCTCTTGGCTTAGCTGACACCAGTCGCGCATCATCGCAATAGTGCTGAGGTGGCCTTGTTAGCTGGGCAAGCTGCAGATGTCCCTGGGAGGGCAGGGGGTGGGAGACCCGACTTAGGAGTGGCAAATACTCACTGAATCAGTACACACGTGATGATGAGGCCAGCCAGGGCCACAATGGAGACCACCACTAAGGCAGTGATGGCCTGCTTCTTCTGGCTGGAGGCCACCACAGCCAGGAGGTCCGCGTGCTCACAGCGCGCTCCGACGTACCCAGAATGGCAGCTGGAAAAGAAAGGGACATCAGCACAGTCTTCTGGCAGAAGGTCTTGTTCCCACAACTCCCCAGGGAAGGCTGGGCTGCAGGAACCCAAAGCCCTAGCGAAAGCCCAAAGGGACCCCTCCAAGTCAGTAAAATCACTCCCACTTCCATGCACAGGCACCTCTTGCTGAGAGAAGGAAGGATAACTAATCAGCTTTATCACGTGTGGATGAAAGGTGCTGTAGAAGCACTTCATTATTATTGTTACTGAGCCAGCTCTTGGGGAAATAAAGGAGGCAGCAAATGTGTTTATGACACCGAATTCATTTATCATAAAAATCCAGGTTATTTTAAAACCAAATCTGTGTATTCAGAGTTTCCAATGATAAACTTATGAAAACACATTAAACCAGGAGGAGATAGGCTGTGGCTTGCTTTACCTTCTTCAAGTTTAATTAGTTCTATAAGCATTTACCTGGTGGCTCAGCGCATGGGGCATGTACTGCAGTGGGGTCTAGCACCACTAACTGGTAATTGTAGGACCTGAGAAGCCCCTGAGCTCCTGTGAACCCTAGTCCTCATTTCTAACAATACCTGGTCTCCTTCCACCAGAGGATTAGTAAGGGCTGAAAGAGGTCATGTTCGTGAGCTGCGTGTAGCCTTCAAAGGGCAATGCCAATATGAGCTGCTGTTGTTACTGGTGTTGCTACTATTCAGAAGCGCGTTGGCATCAATCATTTCAGTAACAGCCATCTATGTGCTGAAGCTGAAGGCTGATGTGACTTCTTCCATCTCACTCCAGCCCCCACTCCATTCTGAGGCAGGCATAGTGGTTCTCACATGACTCCCTAGGACATGTTCTAGCCATAAGGAAGTGATGCCCATTTCTGATGCAGGCATTTCCCACCCCCTTTGTTTGGGGTGACTTTAATTGTGACGAAAATGTTTGATCACCACTGCCTTCTCAGGTGGGGAAACTTCCTCCCCACAGGGGGCTTCCCATAGGAGCAGCCTTGCCCCAAACATCACTTACTGTGTTTAAAGTTTTGTTCTGCCCCCACCCCCCCAGACATGGCAATGATAGCCAAACTTCTTTTTTTTTTTTTTAAAGAATCTACCTTTTGATGAAGTAGCCAGCCTGTCACATTCACTTTTACATTAAAAGGCCTTTGAGGAACAAGGAAAAATGAAAGGGATTAAGAGTCCTGGTGTGCCTTCTATGTGCCAGAGCAGCCCCAGGGCATTGCATTTGTGGTTCCCCTAAACCTCTGCTCCTGAGCAGCCAGACCCCAGATGCCAGCAGGGTACTTGGAGCCACAGGGTAAATGCAGCAATCCTCGAATAACAGAATGCAATACCGTTGTTGTTTCGTTATAATGCTGTTTCATTATAATCTTGTTTTGTTAAAATGTTTCATTATAATGTTGATGAGATGCTATAGGAACAGTAACTCTTGCTTTTACCAATTAGCCTATGATAAAACTGGTTCCCTTTTAAGTAATTTTGTGTAAATTCCCAGAGCCTATCTATGAAGACGTTAAGTTGAGGATTTACTATACAGTATATTCTCCTGGAGCATAAGTCTTGCTCAATGTTAACAAATATTTAATCGTTTTAATGTTAAAGGAACAGGTACCACATGGGTTTAAGATTTATGGCAAACAGATACTGAAAAAACTTCTGCTTAATGCTACAACCTAGGATACCAGAGCATACAAGCTTCTGTCTTTAACACCACTTAATGGAAAAGTCTTTCACTGGCGTTCTTTATCCCAAAGCAGTTGTTATGTACTTCATACAAAGGTATTTTTTAGTTTGAATTCAGGCACCTGCTTTTCTGTTAAGAGCTATTTTATATTTAGCATATCTTTTCTCATTTAATCCTTGCACAGAAAAATCAAGTCATTTGGCTGCCAGGGAAGAGAGAGAAATTCATACCCAGGACTGCTGACCCCAGGGTCCGGGTTCTCGCTCACACTCCAGGCTGCTTCCCTTGCACACTCAATGAGTTGGAATAAGAATGTTATACACGTTAGGCTCTTGATCAAATCTAGCTTTTGGTTCAGCCACCGATCTTGATAGGGTAAAAGAGGTTTGAGGTTTTAGGTTCGATTAGAGTGCAAAGAGTTTGCAGGGCTTGGTAAGTAAGGAAGCTGAAGGTCAACTAGGATGAAAAATGCCATGCAGGGTCCTCTACAGACCTGAGGGGAAGAGAGCAGACCCCAGAGGAGAAATAGAGCAAAAGAGGAGAGATCTCTGGCAAGAAGACTCTTCTTGAAAAAGGATCTGGATCACAGAATTCTGAATAAGGACCCTGGCTCTCACAGACTTGGGCTGGGATGGAGAAGACTGAGGGGCTATGGGACAGGGGCAGATTTTGTTTTTGTTTGGTTTTAATAACAAAATTATGTGAAGGCAAGGGTCAAGAACCAGTTGACCCTGTAGGTTGAAAACCCACCCCTTCCCACTAGGTGGAAGCTGTCAGTGGACGGGACTAGAGTTTGAGAGGCAATAAGCAGCAGGCGTAGGTGACTCATAAATCTAAGCCGTTGGTGTCTGAAGAAAACTCTGCAGAGGGTTACTTCTCCAGCAATGCTCAAAGTTTTGACCTTGCACCCAAATGGCTCCCACTTGAGTTTTGGGCTTTCTCTATTTGGTATCTGACACCCTCTCTCTGCAGGGCCCTAACCCACCCCCTCCACTTTATCACCCATCACCAAGGTTCCAGTTAACCCAAGCTGTCTCCCCTCCCCACTAGCCCAATGTCAAATAAATTCATGCCCAGCATACAGGCACTCAGAACACACTGGCCTAATGAATAAATGACTACCCTTTACTTGACCATCTCAACTCCTGTTACCTTCTCTGCCTAGAATATTATTCCTCACTCTCCTCCTCAGACTCCATCTCAAAGACCATATTCTATAAAAATGTGTAAGTTACAGACCCACTCATTGGCCCCGTCGTCCATCTACTCGGTGTTCTACAGCTCTTTCCATGGATCTCCCCAAACTCTCTTCCTCTTCTGAACGTCTTCAGGGCTATGCCCACCTCTCTGACTGCCCTTGCACCAGCCTCACTGTAGGTCAGCTTCCATGCTCCTGTGGGCAAGACCTATCTCTACAAAAACTGGTGAGCCACTGAGCAGAGTAGGCTGGGGAGCCTGGGCTTTGAGGTAAAGTGTTAGATTTCTAACCAGGAGCTGCAGCTGAGCCAACTAGACTTCTTGTAGACAGTGTTAGTGCTGCTGCCTCCTGGAGAAGGGTAGTGTGATGAGGATTTACACAAATATTTGTGAAAGGGCCAGGTTATAGGAGGGTGAGTTTGAAATGTTCCCATTCTAACCTGCAGGCCCTGGGAGAGACAGATTCTGACACCTCCATAGCCACTTGGTTCTGAAAACCCTAAGAATTAACAAATCAATGCTGGGACTCTGAGAAATCCCATTTAAATAAAAGAGTGGCAGCCAGGTGCTAATTACAGCACCTACTATTTATGAAAGGCACTGTGCTAAACTCCTACATGAGTTACCTCTTTTAATCCCAACAATCACAGTGCATGTGAGGTCAGGGCTGTTTTTACCTTGTCTTACAGATTAGGAAATGGGAGCTTCTAGAGGTTTAAATACTAATGCTCTCAACCATGAAGGTTACCTTTCTGGGGTAATGCAAACTGGTTTGGGTGATACTTTGGGACAGCGATTCAATGACAAACTCACAAACCTCATAGCAAAAAGAAAGACGGGCTGCTTTGCTGACTGCCCCATCAAGAGATCGCCCTGCTATGGGTGTGGCAGGTGGCAAAGATGCCCCAGTGCTGTCTTAACTCACTGAGAAAGACAACCTCCTGGGCTGGGTCACAATCTGCTGACTTTCCATGTTCTTCCTATTAGAGGAACATTCCCCATTTGTGTACACTGGGTCCTTTACAACCAGCCCAGCCTCAGAACTGCCCCCGGCAGCAGTCTTGCCTTTTAGGCAAGTCTTCGTGTTAAGAAGAATGCCTCTGTCACCTTAGTGTCACAGCTGAAAATACAGCTGACCTTTGAACAATATGGGTTTGAACTATGCGGGTCCACTTACATTTGAATTTTTTTCAATAAATACCTGTATTTTTTTGATCCCTGGTTGGGAGTCCACAGATGTGGAGGGCTGACCATAGGCACTGATATATGGCATTTTATATGGGGCTTGAGCATCCACAGGACTTTGTATCTTCAAGGGGACGCATCCCCTGTGGATACCAAGAGGCAACTACACGTTTGGGGAATCAAAAGTTATAATTGGATTTTGGACTCTTGGAGTTTGGGCGTTGGTGCCTCTACCCCCCACATTGATCAAAGGTCAGCTGTACTCAAATTTAGTCATACTGAATTAGGAAGCCCAACATATTTCTGAATGGAAACTTTCCCAGTGAGGCTCAGGAGGCACCTGGGCTGCTGCCTAATAGGTGAGATCCAGGTCATGCCCTAGATGAGCTCCGAGAACAGGGAATCTTAGTCCCAAGCAGCCTAGCTGCAGCTGTGAGGCAGGACAGCTTGTGGTCCAGGTGCTTGGGCTTTCCCCCAAGACCACCCAGATCAAAATCACTCTGAAAATGAGGACTGGGTGTTTTAAAGAAAAGGCTAAAGGGAATTCTCATGAAGGCAAAGTTGACAGCCACCATGTAGGGTTTACCAGTGATATCAACTCTGGCTGCCTATTGGAATCGCCTAGGAAGATTGAAAAGAAATTCTGATACCCAGGTCATGCCCTAGACTGACTAAATCAGAATCTCTGGGCGTTAGACCTGAGCATTAGTATTTTTAAAAATCCCAGATGATTCTACTGGGAAGCCAGAATTAAGAAGCACAATTTGTACTTTCTGGCCTTGGGGTGTAGGGAGATCCTTTCTCCACTCCAATCATTGATAATAATGGAGATGTGTCCCAGTTGCTTCTCATGATACGGGAAAAAGAAACTTTGATACTTTCTTTTTAACATCCCAAGCTTCTACTAATATTAGACTTAATTATGCTGATTAT